TTCCAAACCCCCACCTCCTGTCTCAATGGAAAACTGCTTTTTTAAAAAAATATATAACTTTATTGATTTTAGAGAGAGGAACATCAATGATGAGAGAGTCATGATCAGCTGCAGCCGGCAACCTGGGCATGTGCCCTGACCGGGAATCGAACTGGGAATCGAACCCAGATCACCTGGATCCTAGGTCAACGCTCAACCACTGAGCTACGCCTGGCTGGGCTGCTTTCTTTTTCTTTAAAAAATGCCTGCTACCTTGTGTTTTATTTTATGTTTTAAATGTGTCTTTATTGACTTCAGAGAGAGGAAGGGAGAGGGAGAGAGAAACATCAGTGATGACAGCGATCGGCCGCCTCCCACACACCCCCCTGGGGATCGAGCCGGCAACCTGGGCCTGTGCCCTGACGGGGAATCAAACAGCGATCTCCTGGATCCTAGGTCAATGCTCAACCGCTGAGCCATGCCCTCACCCGAGAATATTTTTCCCCATTAATTTTTAGGGGAGTGGAGAGAGAGAAAAGAAACATCAATGCGAGAGGCACATCAATTGGTTGCCTCCCGTAGGGGCTCAGATCAGGCCTGCAATCCAGGTATGTACGTGCCCTTGACCAGAAATTGAACTCGCCACCTTCTGGTGTACTGGCCAACGTTCTGACCACTGAGCACACTGCCCAGGGCCCTGGACGCTGCTTTCCCAGAGGCCCTTGCAGCACACGGTCTGCTCCCCCAAGACCTGGGACCCAAGGGGAGCCTTTCCTGGCAGGGTCATGTTACACAGGCAGCATTCCTCCCAGTAATTCTCTGCAGACCTGGGTGGGTGCAGTCATTCAGGTTTCAGGATCATACAAGTGCTGACGAGTGAAAAGACAAAGGTTGTGGGCGCGGGGACTTGCATCCCCTTTGCAGATTGCACAGATACCCACTGTGTTGTTTGGTCATTTGGAATGTGACAGGTGATGGAAAGACAATAGGCTACTTAAGAAACGTGAAAGGTGAATGGCTTCCCGGCTTCGCCCCAATTCAGCAGAGCTCAGGTAGACACAACCACAGTGCTGACCTTTGGTCCCTCCTCCTGACCATCTTCTCTCTAACCAGGGCCAGCAGAGGGTCTTGACTTTAAGGGACCGTGTCATTAGGTTGGGTCCACTGGATAATCCAGAGTAACCTCCTCACCCCAGAATCAGCTGTGCCCCCTCTGCTCGCTGAGGTGGCGCTCATGGGCTTCAGGGACGAGGATGCCATCGGGGGTCCTTGTTCCCCCAACCACAGCAAAGTGGCAGACCGAAATTTTGAGAGCTGATGGCCAGGTGCTCTCTTCACCAAGATGTGGTGAGGATTTGTGACTGTCGGCCTGACTTGTGTGTCTTGGGAGCCCCACTGCTCTGGAATTACTTTAACCTGCCGCCAGCCTAAACTGTGCTGGCCCAGGTTTGCCATTCTGAGGACGTTTTCCTGAGGGTTATATANACTGTGCTGGCCCAGGTTTGCCATTCTGAGGATGTTTTCCTGAGGGTTATATAACAGACCTCTGGGTTTTGTTGACCTGTCCCTCAGAGCCCTGGATGCGTTCTTACTCCTACGTAGGACTGCTCACCACCAGGTCGGGGACACCTCCCGGCCAGCATCCAGAGTTCGGAGGCTACGTGGCCCCTGCTGTCTGAGCCTCAGTCCACCTTGGCTTTTCAGCTGCCCTTTAAGTTCTGTGCTTTGTTGCCGCAGGTTCCCAGGATCTCGACCTCCCTACCACCCCACCCTGTTCCCAGCCACAGGCCCCTGCCAGGCCCCACTCTCACCTCTCCCATGAAACTTCCTGCTGGGGCCCTTCCCGGTTGTAATCTGAAACCAGTGAAGAGCCTGCAGACAGGTCCACATTGGTGGGTGGCAGATGTAATAAGCAAGGAGCTTACCTACCAGGCTTGTCTTGGGTGGTGGACAAGGGTTTCCCACACCCTCCCTCCAGAATCTGAAAAGTTTATGTGGAGGCCTTGACGGGTCAGCCACGTGCACAGGGGACCTTGACGGGGCTCAGTTACTTGTTCAGGAGGCCTTAACACAGATCAGCCATATGCACAGGGGGCCGTGATGGGGGTCAGTGAGTGCACCCCGGCCATGTGGTCTCATCACCCCATTTCTGTCTCAGGGCTGTGTCCCTGGGCAGCCTCTAGTGGTGGGAAGGCAAGTGGAGCAGGTATTCCAAGCACAGGGGAGGGGTGGGGAGCCTCTAGTTGCCCATGTCCAGCTTGTGGGTCAAACCAGCAGCCATACTTCCTGACCCTCCAGACAGGAGAGGACCCACCATCTCCTGAGCTTTGTAAAGTTGGTGCCTCAGCCTCGTATTTGCCGGGGTTCTGTTTGGTTTTCCTCGTGCATGTGTTTCTGTTCCTGCCAAATGCTGGCTGCCCGAGGGCCCTGCCTGCGTCAGTGCTGGGTCCTGCTGCACCAACAGTCTGTGCAGATGGAGAAGTCTGCGCCTTCTGGCCCGACCCCAGTTCCAGGCACGCAGAACAAGGCCCAGGGGGCGTGGGGCCACCCACACACCACCCCAGGGGCACTGGTGCCAGAAACAGGCTGCTGTCCNCAGGCACGCAGAACAAGGCCCAGGGGGCATGGGGCCACCCACACACCACCCCAGGGGCACTGGTGCCAGAAATAGGCTGCTGTCCAGGTGGACCATCCTGCTTGTCCAGCCCTTTTGGGGACACAGACAAATAATCTTTGTAGACTTTTTAAAAAAATATATCTTTATTGATTTCAGAGAGAAGGAGAGAGACAGAAACATCAATGAGAGAGAGTCATTGATCGGCTGCCTCCTGCACGCTCCCTACTAGGGATCGAGCCCACAACCTGGGCATGTGCCCTGACCAGGAATTGAACCTGTGACCTCCTGGATCATAGGTCAATGCTCAACTGCTGAGCCATGCTGGCTAGGCCATAGATNCTCCTGGATCATAGGTCAATGCTCAACTGCTGAGCCACGCTGGCTAGGCCATAGACGTATTTTTAAGTGGATTCTGGCTTTTTGTAATGGAGATTGTCCAGCACACACAGGAGTAAAGAGAACAGCCCAGTGAGCCCCTGCCCTGGTCCCCCAGCATCAGTAATTGCCAACATTTCTTCATTCTTCTTTCACCTCCCTGCCCCCTTCCATTTGTGTCTCCCCTGCTCAAGTCTTTGGAAGCAAGCCCCAGACTTCCTGGCTGTATGAAGCGGTTACGGTTAGTTTTCCAAATGCGGACGGCTGTAGAGAGCTGGGGGAACTTGGGGAACAGGCTGTTTCCTGGGCTGTTGTGTCTGCAGAAGTGTGCACGGGCCACAGGACCTTCAGAATTGTGTCTGAGCCTTGCAGGTGTTCCTAGGTGTCCAGTGTACCTGGGGGCAGCTCACCTGCCAGGGTTGTGGGGCTGCATGTGCTCAGTGCTGGAAGGTGGGGGGGTCGTGGCGGGGAAGTGGCATGTCTGGGAGGTGAGTGGGGGGCCTCTGAAAGCTGCTGTCCCCCACTCCCCAGGTAAAACAGAACACAGACCCCACCCTTTCCTGGGAGTGTGAGCAGGAGGCAGGAGGGCCTCCGGGGCTCAGCAGGCGCCTGTGTGGCCTGAAAGATACAGTGGGAGGCTGGGGGGACCCAGGTCTGCAGCATGTTTAGGTGGGATGGTAGCCAGTCAGCCTGGACAGTGCTCTTCATTCCTCCGTTGCCTTGACACCTGTCTGTCCGTCTTTCTTTTAGGCAACTGATGGCACAGGAACCACTGGAAAAGCTGGGGTTTGGAGATTTGATGGATGGAAAAGCAAACAGACGCTAAATGTTCCTGGGAGACCCCAGCTGGTCATCTGGGACAGAGCTGTGTGCTGACCTGTCACCCCGATGGTCATTTCTGGGTGGTGTGACTGAGAAAGGGGCGTCCGCATGCCCGCAGAACACCTTGGGTGTTGCCCACAGCTAGGAAGCAGCTAATCCTCTGAGCCTCCCGGGTTATTTGGGGAAATTATCCTTCCTTTAGATTCTCATTTCCCTCAAGAGTGTTAAGTTCTGACTTTAAATCCATGTGTGACGGGGTCCCTGGGGAGGCCTGTGACGGTGATGACCGAGGGCCCTGTAATGTGGGGGCCTCTTCTTGTGACACTGGATGTTCGTGAATTTCAGAAAACTGTTCTCTAGCAAAGTGGTTTTCTCTTTTTTTTTTTTTAAACAATAAAAATGCAGGACCCAAGAGTGTCTATAGTATGTTAGAAAGAGATGTAAAAAACTGTAGGAATGTTTGTACAAAAGAGAAACTCGGACGGACAAATCCGGAACTAAGGTGATTGGTCACCAGCCTGTGGTTCAGTTCTGACTGGACCATAATCATGTCTCACACGCTCAAAACTAAGCCAGGACATGGGGGACCCTAAACAGAGCTCCCGCCAAGTTACGATGTGCACTTTAACCTCACCAGAGCCTGGGAGGCAGAAACTGACTAGAGCTAGAGACAAGGCCAGGATTTTTACTCTAGTGAATGTGTTTTCACATGAGCAGCAGCCCTGGGACTGTTCTCAGATAGAAAAGGCTGGTCTGCTGACTCCGCATGCCAGCTGGGTACAGAGATAGACATGGGTGCGTGCGTGTGTGTGCATGTGCTGTACATGTGTGCGAGTGTGCGCCTACATGCAGACATCTCAGCTCTGAGCACCGGGGCCTGGAAGCAGCGAGGCCCAGCAGCCAGGCACACAAAAGGACGGCTCCTGGAAGAAGGGCCGGCTCCAGGGCCAGGGAGTGCAAGACGAGCCTGGATGATCAAGTCAGAAACCAAGGAGATGCTGAAAGGGATGGGGTTGTCCAGGGAGCAGGAGGAACGGAGAGAGAGGCTCCCGACGGCTGGGGCTGGGACAGTGTGAGCGGCAACAGGGATTGTGCTGGGTTACAGCCCTAGAATAGGCCACTGCCCAGGGGTCCACGCTGGTGTGAATAATTAAACGAGTGTGTCAGTGTGGGGGGAGGCGGGACAGCTCCTACAGCGCTGACCAGTGTCGAGGGACCAATGGGGACTGGTCACCCTGGGCAAGCGCTGCAGCAGGAATGGGTGCCAAGAGGAGCAGCATGGGTGTGGAGTTGGGTGGAGTGTGGTGTGGATGGGATGCTGGCCTCGGCTGGGGTACCTGCCCTCAGGCACTTAGTGACTACAGAGGGAGTGACGGGGACCACAGTGGTCATCGTAGCCGAGTGGTCACCCCAGAGTGAGGCTCCCCCGGCTCGCTCTGACCTGATGCCCTAAGAGGGCATGGGTCACCTCTGGCTTTCTTCCCAAAAGCGCATAACCTCAGTCTAGCCTTGTGCGAAGTGATGAAGCCCAGCACTCAGAAGTGACAGGTCCTCGTGACAAACGGCTGTCCCAGAAGGGAGGCCCCGCAGCCCTGGACCAGGCGGGACACGGGCAGGCGCAGGTCCATTACCAAGGGGATGCATAGGATGCCGTGTGGAGAACTGGACATGTGAACTATTTTTGCAACTTCTTGGAAGTCTGAAATTATTTCAAAATGAAAAAAAGTTTGCATTAAACTCTTTGCAGTTGAACTTCCTACAGACATTGAGTAACTTCTCATCTGAAACACCCAGTGAACTTGAAGCGGGGGCGATGCGGCCACACTGGGCCTCGGAGCTGGGAGGGGAGGTGGACGAGGGGCAGCCTGGAAGCCCGTGGGGGGCAGTCGGCAGCTTCCGGACCCTGCCTGGGTTTTCTAGGCCTGAGCTGCTAAAAATGGACGCTGGGGAGCCAGACGTCCTGCCCGCTCCTCCCAAAGCTGCCAGCAGGTGTTTTGGCAGCAAACCCCTGGTTATGTAAAGACCGCATGTTGTGTCTCTTGTACACCTGTCGTCATAAACCAGCAGTGCTGGTAAAAGCCACCGAGTCTCCAGGACGTTCTCCAAGTGTCCTGAGGCAGGAGGGGAGTCGGCAGCATGGTCAGGTCTGGGCCCTCCTCCGCCTGGCCCACACAAGTCACGTCGGGTCGGGGCGCATGGATGGCGTCTCGCGTTCCGGAACCTGTGGCACTTGCTTGTTGGCAGTGACGGCGAGGACAGGTCGGAACCCGCCACTGCGTGCGTGATGCGGTCCCGGTCTCGCAGTGTCTGTCCGCCTAGAAGGCTCCCGGTCGGTGTGGACGGGAGAGGTCCCATGTCCTGCACAGTGATGTTCACGACGCCCGCCCGGGACGGCCTCGCAGACTGTGCGGCCCTCCTTGCAGTTTTCTTTACAACTATTTCATAACAAGCACGTCTTGTTTTTATAGAAACAATGAAGTCATTAGTTTAAAAAGGGTCACTGTGTTTACTGGTAATTTTATATCATCTATAAATGATGTGCCTGTGGTTGTAGTTTTATGTTGTCCATAAATACAGCCCAGTTTATTTTCCCTGGTTTCTGGGTTGGAATGCGGTGTGGCCCATGCTGGCGGCCGCAGGCTGAAGGGGCTCCCTGGGGAGGCCATGTCGTCAGCTCTCGTGTCCCCCTGAGGAAGTGGGGAGCCTGGTCACAGCCCATCAGTGGCCCACCGCCCACCTGGAGCCCAGAATCCGTCCTCTCGTGAGACGCCACCCGGGCGAGGAGGCAGCGGTCCACCGTGGCCGAGACATTGAGAGCCGTCCAACGAGCCGGGAGCACGAGGCTTTGTCATGACGCTGGGGATAAAACTCTGAGTCTCCAGCCCCCCCAGAGGAGGGGATTCGCATTTCACAGCTGTGTGTCACACACAGTACAGTGGGGCGCCTGCTGGACAGGGCCGACCTGCTGGCCTGGGCTCTCTGAGGTCAGTCTTCCTGCGGGAGGCCTGGCAGGACACTGCCCACCCCTTTACCTTACTTAGGGGACACCCCGGTGGCGGAGCCACCACACTCCTCTGGGCATTCTAAGGTGTGGGGTTTGTGGGGCGCATGTGCTCCTGTTGGGGGCTGATCTAGAATGCTGGGGCCTGGCCCACACCCCCAGCTTCAGCAGGAATGCTCAGGGTCCCTCCTGACGCTGAGGGACCTGTTGGGGGGCCTGGGGAGGGGCCGGCAGGACGGTGGCCCACCCAAGCCCTGCAGGTGGGTCTCGCTGGTGTTGGGCCACCAGAGTCACTAGAGTTTCTTAACCAGAGCACCAGGTGCCACCAGGCTGGGACCTGGGCAGGGTCAGCACCTGGGGCGTCCCCTGTGGTGCCCGCATCTGCTCGCTCCCTGGCCCTGCCCCAGTGGCCGATGCCTCGGAGAGGGGGCTGCAGGGCCCGGAGACCGTGTTCCCAGGTCCCCGCCCGGCTCCGGGACGAGCAGCGCTGAG